TTTTCCTAGTGCAGGCAATGGTGTCAGGGCGATGCCAGGGAATCAGGAAGGCTGATTGGACAAGTTTGCTTAGGTTGAGGATAGTGGTTAATGAGTAGAATTGATTAATGCTATCCAAATGTATCTGCATATAGCTTCTCTTTTGATAATTTCTCTAAGAATGTTTTCCTTTCCTCCTTATTCTGAAGCTCACTCCCTTTTCCTGAAAAATTCTACTGGACACCTATCAATTACATGACTCCATCCCTGAATAATCTTCCTGGTTCAGTTAACTAAACACTTTAAAAATGGTTTCAAAACTCAGCTTTTATGAATATCGCATTAAAAAAATCAAACAAACCTGAAAATCATCACCTTTTGACCCTATATCTTCTTTTATGTCACCTCATTGAGACTTTCCAATTTGGCAGTTTCCCTGTATTATCTCTACTTCATTTTCTCCATTAATTTTTAAGTATTTGTAATCTGGCTTCTACACTTATCCCCACTGCTTACAACATTGCTCCCTTGCTTCACCAATGGCATTGTAGTGCCTATTGTAATAGAATATATAATATACAATGTTTGACTTACTTATAGCATTTGAAATTATTGGCTACTCCTTCCTATTGACTTTCTTCTCTTAGGGTTATATGGTTCTCTTTTTTCAAACATTCCTTCAATTTCTATATGGAGTCTCATCATTCATATATTACTAAATATTGGTGTTTGAGTTTTTATGTTTAGCTCCCTTTTCACTCTGTACGTTTTCCCTGGGTGCTTTCATTCAATCTCATGATTCTATCATTGCTGGTTTGTGGCTGTACTCCAAATATATTTTTGCTAGTCAATAATTTTTCCTGACCTCTAAGCACATATCTCTAACCAGCCATCTGGACAGCTCCATGTGGATGGCTTATCCTCTCTCAAAAAGTCATGATAAAATGTATTTCACTGTCCAGAGCTACCAATGCACTCTTCCATTAGGTTTTAATTTTTCTAAACCAATTTTCACAGATAAATTTTAAGAACTATTACAGGGATTTCTTGTAATTTTGCCAGACTCATCTGGAAAATCTACAACATAATGCCCAGAATATTAATGTTGATGTAATTCACCAATCTATAGAGATTTTCCCAGGTTAATAGGTACTCATTTGTGTGTGTGTTGTTACATATAATTTTGTCATTGTGTATGTTTATGCTTCCACAACCACTGTCAAGTAATTTTTCTATCTAATGCCTAGAGGGTCTCTGGATAAAAGTCTTCTGTCAGAAGTGTTAATTTTTTTTTTTTTTTTTGCATTGAACTCAGGGGCACTCTACCACTGAGCTATATCCTAAGATGTTTTATTTTTTATTTTGAGATAGCTCTGAGGCTGGTTTCAAACTTACCATCCTCCTGCCTTGCTTTCTGAGTAGCTGAGATTATAGGCATGCACCACCACATCTGGCTGTTTAGAGCATCTTTACAGAACAGAATAGCAGTTTTTAATTCTGTGAAATTCAGCTTACCATTTTTTTTTAAATGGATGAGCTTTTGGTATCACATCAAAGAACTAATTGGCTAACTAAGGGTAACAAGGTAATATCACACTGTCAGGTTTACTGAAGTTTTATATCATATCTCAATATCAGACAGTGTGAGTCCTCAAAATTGGTTCTTCTTTAAAGAATTATCTACTCTTGTTTCTTTACATTTATACATATATTTTAGAATTCCTTTTTCTGTATCTCTGGAGAATTTGATGGTATTTTGTCTGTGATTGCATGGATCAATTTGGGAAAAAGTGATAATCTTAACTATATAGAGCCTTCCCATCCATGGGTAGGACTTGAATTGATGTTTTATGTATACAGAGTCCTTTAATTCACAGGGTTTGTCTTCCATTTATTTGGGTTTTCTTTGATGTTTTTCTTCAGAATTTTAGGTTATTTTGAATTTTAGTATATAGATTGTGCATATATTTTCTTGGATTTGTATCTAAGGATATATTCTCCGAGTATTTCATGGACAGCGTTTTGAAAATCATAGTTACAACAAGTTATTGAGCTCCAGTTGTTCATCCCTAGTGAATAGAAATGCAATTTATGTTTGTATGTTGACCTTGTGAGACAATGCAAGAAGATTTAGAGGAGAAATGATTGGGTTGTGAGGGCCTTGACCCAACAGTGAATTAATTCCCTGACAGGATTAGTTGAGTGGTAACTAAAGGCAGGTAGGGTGTGGCTGGGAGAGGTAGGTAATCGGGGGCCTGCCTTTGGGATATATATTTGTGTCAGGCAAGTGGAGTCACTCTTTCTGCTCTCTGATCTTCATGTGAGTTTCTTCCCTCCACTGTTTTCCACCATGATGTTGTGCCTCACCTTGAGCCCTGAGGAGTGGAGCCGGACTTCTATTGATTGAGACCTCTGAAACCATGAGCCTCAAAATAAACTTTTCCTCCCCTAAAATTGTTCTAATTAGGTCTTTTAGTCACAGCAGCAAAATAACAACAACAACAAACCCTCAAAAAACAACCTGGTGCTGGGGATTAAACCCAGTACCTTGCACATGCTAGGCAAATGTTCTACCACTATATCCCCAGCTCAGCTATAGTTTTTTTTTATAAGAGCCCTCGGCTCCATGGAGACGGTGGAGCCGAGGGCTCTTATTAAAAAATCTTAAGGTATTTATACTTAGTCATATGAGTATATATATTACATATTATATTACATATATATGCTATACTCATATATCCTGTATACTCATATATATACTGTATATACACCCACACTTATAAAATGACCAAATGCATTAGAAAATTATTTCTTTAGAAGCCAAATTTGGAAATTATTATTTTTTTAGGAAATAAAACTGTCTTTATTCATAGAAGATGCAAATCTTGTACACAGAAAATTTAAGGAATTCAGTGAAAAACCTACTAGAATAAGCAAGGTTAACAAGTTCACAGGATATAAGAGCAAAATTATTAGAATTACTTAAACCAAATCTTTGTAATACAAAATTCCATCAATTTTTAATCTGTTCTTTAAGCTTTGTTTTCCAAGATTTATAATTACATAGCTTTTAGTATAATGAGAGCAGTGTATTCTCATATCCAATTTGTAACCTTAAATTTTATCCTCGTTGATCTGAGAGATGCAGCTATAGAACTTTATTAGACTGTCTGACAAACATAACAGCAAATATCAGAATTGTATTGTTTGGCCAGCAGGCACCACTCTCCCAATTCAATGAGAAAAGTTAATGTGGAACAAACTAGGACATCTTCCTCTGAATCTGCTCTGGACTTTAAGCTCGGACTTTAGTGGACTCAGCAAGAAAATAGAAAGTCTCTGATGTATAGATCACACTAGAGACAGGTTGTGGAAATAGGGGGATGATTCCTCCAAATATAGATCGCAAAGAGGTGGCTCCATGTGATTTAACAAGTCCTGGGTTTGTTAACTGTGTCCTGTGGCCTGTTCTTGTAAGTGGACAGGAGAGCATGTGTACTAAGCTCTCTAGGAAAAATATATACACACACATATATAAACAGAATTAAATTAGTGCAACAATGGAAACTACCTTTTTCAAGTGTCCATTGCTTCACAGTCTCCATTTCTTTGGAGCTATCTTTTAAACAAAAGCAAGGGAATTTTCAGGTAGATTTGAGAGTTTAGGTCAGGTTATAAGGATTACAAATTTTCTACTGATATAAGTGAATAAGATTATCTTTGTCTTTCTAGAAGATTGAACTTTCTATAACAATTTGTGTAAGAAAATAAAAATTTGATTTAAAAAAAAAAGAGCCCTCTACGATGGAGAAATTTATTTTATATTTGTAGTTTGCTGAGAGATTTTTAAAATCATTAATGGATGTTGAATTTTTTAAAAAGCCTTCTATTTCTCAGTCTGATTTTTTGAATGTTAAACTAGGCTTTTATTTTGGGGATAAATATCAAATTGGTTGTGATGTGTTGGTCTTTCTACATATTGCATTGGATTAGCTAATATTTTATTGAGGATTTTTGTGTTTATATTCTTAAGGGATAGATACATTGTAGTTTTCTTGCTAAAATGAGTTAAGATTTTTTTTTTCTATTTTTGGAATATATTATATAGGATTGTTATTAATTCCTTTTCTTTTCTTGTTTTTAAATCAGTGCTGAGAATTAAACCCAAAAACTCATCATGCATGCCAGGCAGGCACTGTACCCCTGAGGGATGTGTCTCCAGCCCCTTAATAATTCTCTTATAAATTTTTGCTTGAATTCACCAGTGAAACCATCTGGACCTAAGTTTTCTTTTTTGGGAGGTGTTTAACTGCAGATGCAAATCTTTTAAGAGATATAAATTTATTCAGGTTTTTAGGAAAAGCAGAACACAAAAATCAAAACAAAACAAAACCAAAGTCACCCAAAACCAAAACAACCAGAGAAATTCATCAATGTGTTGTTCTTCAAATGCTGTACTTTCTATCTGCTTTATCCACTTTCTACCTGCTTTATCTATCTTTCAAATTTTCTGGTATTTACTCCTTGTTTGATTTTCATAATTGGTAGGTGTAATGAGCAGGAAAGATTGGATGAAGTGTGTCTATTCTATCTTAACTAAGATAAGAGCCTCTTTTTAATTTTTAACTTTTAATGCTGTATCCAACATTCTCCTAGACACTGAATAGTTTTTGAGGGTAAGATTTTGGAGAGTAATGTTATTCCACATGTCAGCATATCCATAGGTTCAAAATCCAGAACATAATATTTGATATATATATATATATATATATATATATATATATATATATATATGGTATAAATTTGTGACACACTCCTATTCTACTTTTAATTATTTTTTTTTATTATTTCTACTTAAGTGCAGAATCATTATTGTTTTAAAGTTTGTGTAACTTTCCTGTCCCTGACATAAGTTAATGTTTATGTTTATATGCTCAGTGTCTTCATGATAGCTAAATCCACTTTGACTTTTCCTTTGGATTCTGCTTTATTTGCAGTGCTGAAACTTCTTTGTTGGAAAAATGTCTTCAAACTCAGAAAATAACAGACTAATTCAAGCTTCTGAAATGTTCTTCCTTCATGTACAAGATCTTGTTTCCCTCACAAACACATTTACTGAGTTTCTTAACCACAATATGAATACTCAGATCTCCTTGATGGTTGTGAAAGAAGATAGTACAATTAAGAATTTCTTTGAAGAAATGCTTAAAAGTTTTAAGGAGATGCAATCTGTAGTAGAAGAAAAGTACAACAAAATGCAAAAGGAACCTATGTATTCGAAGGTTGCAACAACTATGTGTTCTATGGCAGAGAAATGTATCAACCTGGAGTTGGAACGCTCAGCTAAAGAACTGTTTAAAAATATCCAGACACCAACCATTGTCTCTGTGCTGAGCCATAGTAACATCCTTGAGAATTTGGAATCTTTTTTTTCACACTTGATGGCATTCCCCATCATGAGTCTTCAATTAAGTGATTTCTGTAAAGGAGACACCAAAGGGAAATCAGATGCTCCCACATCTGAGAAAAACCTGAGTCCAGATCGTTGCAAATCCATCTCAACAGATGCCCTGAAGAAGTTGCAGGATGCACTAAAAACTGAGAATGCCAGCAATCCCATGGAGTCAGCAGCCGATCAGCTGGAACAAATCATCAAGGCTATGGAACCAACCATACAGGTTCTCCAAAAATCCATAAAGACCCTGGAGACTGATATTTCTATGCTTAAGAAAGTGAATGACAAGTAGGGGTGCAATAAAAGTTGCATTCATTTCCATCAGAAAAATAAATTCAGATTCCATGATTTTTTATAGTACTTTCTAAGACCCTTTGATACCAGACATATGAAGGTCATTAGACCATAAGTGCAGAAAGTAGTCATCTGTAGTTTTGCTTCATGAAAATGAAAATGGATAGTCGAAGAAAGCCTACTTGAAATGGCATTCACTAAGGAGTATGTGTTATTGAAAAAACATAGAATCATAGTTGAGGATATTTCATCTTGAAGCATAATTAAAACAACAAAACTAATTTCCACATTTGGCAAGTCTATTTCCAGTTACTGTACTATGAAGTTCAGGTAAACGTAAATATTGTCATTAGTTCAGGCCTGGGGGGAACATAATTTGCCTCCATTTTTGTTACTCATGCCAACTTTCAGTGTTTTGACTATTCTAAGTTACTAAATAAATATGATTTATTCAGAACTAAATAAGAACAATGATAATTCTTATATGAATAAGATCAGAGCAGATAATTTGTTCTCATCTGTCTCCTACTGAGGTTTTAGGATTAGGAGATACTAGAAGTTGAAAATGGAGGTACTCTAACCTTTCACAAAGAAAAGACCATTACACTTGTAGGAGCAGGATTTCTGAGATGTGCTTGTTTAGAACAGGAGTTAGGAAAGTCTATTTGCCAATAATGAAGTCTTTGACTCTCATGCATTGTGAATGTATACTCTCAAGATCGCCCTTGGAGCTATTATTTCACATGATATATAATAGAAACTTTGCTTAGAACAAGTGGTAATGATAACTCCAAATCAAGGCCACTATTGTAATTACCACTTACAATTTAAATTAAGAATCCCTCTGCCATCTGCAAATAAACAGGACTTCATAATATTTTTCGGAAGTGGATGTTAACCATTTCAGAGCAATAGAGGCTCTGGAAAAAGGATAAAATTTCAATACTCAGCATTTTCAATGAGTAGCAATGCTAAAAGCTTATTCATTTGCAATTGCTATCTACTAATGATTGTTTCATTTTGAGGAGAATCTTGAACTCATTCATTACCCCACCTTCAAAAACAACAGCAGCAGCAGCAGCAACATCACACCTTATATAAATAGGAGGTGGAGGTGGGTCTCTTACTTTGCTACTTGTTCTGTACTATATGTGTCCAGGATTTCACCTTCCTTCCTTTTGGTTTTAGGATTGTGCCTCCCAAAATGTTAGGAGAGCAGAGGGGAACCATGTGGAAATGAATGGGACAAAGACTCAAAAAGTCCTGGGGCAGAGCCTTTCAGTGAAGTGGCTGAATGGTGATAACTCAAGGGAAGTCCTTAGATGCCAACTGGAATGGCAGCCACTAGATAATAGAGGTGTGCTGCAGTCTGGCTGGGCACAATTCATGAGCCACTTATCAAGCAGAAACGAACTTTATTTTTAGAACACACTCAGCACCACAGGAGCTCTTCAGGAATTCCCTCAGGGCCCAACTGCCACTACCGGCTTCCCACAAGCCTCTCAACCCCCCCACTCCTCCTGCTCTTCAGGCCAATTGGCTGGGTCGCATGGGCGGAGCCAAAAGAGTCCCCCAATGAGCAGCTCTGTGGTCTGAAAGGGCGGGGAAACAGCCCAATGAGCATCACTGCAGAGGAGCCAATCAGCTGGCAGCTGGAAATTTGCTGGGGCCCCTTCGCTGTGGCTCTCAACATCAGTGGGTGGTGCTCACTTTAATAAACATGGGTGGTTTTTAGGTACTGGTGGCTCCTGTGAGGCTGGCAGTCACTCACAGTGCTTCTCAGACATTTCCCCACCGCTGGGCCCTACCATCATCCTGCCCACTCTGCTGGCTTCCTGTCTGTGTCTGCTTCTGAGCTTGTGGGGTTGTTGGGGGGAAGTTGTACTGTTCTCAAACTGAATGCTGTCATGTAACATTTCTCTCAAATACTTTGGTTTTGGGTTCCTCTAACTTTTCTAAAGTCCATAGGGTTTTGAAGAATAAAGTGAAGACTCACTAGTTTCAGTGTTATGCCTGGCCCTAATTCTTTCTCTGGCCTAACCAAATGAAGTGTAAGTGGAGAGGAAAGGATGAAATGCACCAAAAGAAAACAAAACAAAGCCCATGACCATTTCCTATAAAATAAGGGAAAATAGAAAAAACAAGTCCTGTAATAACCTGTGACAATTTTTTCCCACTTCATAGTTGCCACTTCAGGAGTCACTGATTTAAGAGAATGATCTTACTTAGAAAACTGTGATTTCTCATGGAGATAAATGCTTTAGGGTAACTTTAATCTGTTCAAATTATTAAGCCATCAAATGGATTAGCCTACTGATGAGGTTCCAGGCCTCATAATCCAAATCCAATTGTCTCACCTCTGAATGTCCTGGCTTGTCCCACACATGAACTTCCAGGGGACACCTCATATTCAAACCATAACAGTGCTAGCCCTCACTTTACTCCATTTGACCCAACACTAGGGTCTTTGGAGCTCAGGTGAAACAATCACCCATGTCCCCATCTAAACTGACTACTACCTGAGGGAAGGTTTGGCGAACATTTCCAGCTTTAGACTTTGCATCTTGTAGTTTGTACATAATGAAACATATATCTTTGGTACTTGCATGAGAATCGATTTCTTCTCTCATATTCTCTCTTTTACCTCCACACATATCCTCATGTTTTCCTAATAAATGTGCTTTTATGTGAAGTCTTAAATTAACATGAATTTAACTTTTAACTTTTTTTTTTTTTTTTTGGTAAGTACTTTAGGAGCTTGTATCTACCACCCTGTTAACTGGCAATGAATGACATTTCACTAACATATTTCATTACCTTTCTCTTTTATTGCTCAGGATTCTGTGTTTCTTCCCATATGAGACCAAAATAGTTTGATCTTGAATTCTGATGAAAATCTCTGAAGAAAATTCACACTTTGGTTAGGTCTCTGGGGCTCAAAGCTTTTCCATTTGATCATGAGTTTGTTCTTTGCTTCATAACTCAGTCTTCTTTGAGTTGTTCCTATTTAGGATCATTAAATTTTAAAAAAGTGCAGGGAACCTGTATTCATCAGAATTCTTTCAATGGTTTGAGATAGACTACGTAATTCAAATTATGTAAGCAAAATATAACTTATGGATTTAATGTGAAGAAAAAACTTTCGGTACTCAGCTTCAGACCCAGATGAATCTAGAGGGTCATACATTCTCATTTGGTCTCACTTTCTTTTCATTTCTCACCTCTTCCTTAATTGTGTTAGCTGCTTTCTCAGGGAGTTGGGGGTCCCCTCTTTGGTGGTAAGATAACTTCTAGCATCTTTAAGTTCATACTTACTCCATTCAAAATAGAGGTCCCTCTCCTACTCCCAAAACAAGTGTCTAAAAAGTACCCTGATATACCTCATAAGCTATCCCTGGGCTATTTTCTAGTCCAACATAAACTTCTGTTTTCATGAAGAAATATGCTGAAATGGCTAAGATCTGAGTGATAGGCCAACTGATAGGCAGTGATCCGAAACAGCTGTGTATCAAATGAAAGGTGGGCAGAGTGATTCCCCAGGGGTATTCAGGGTGCTCTGAATGGGAAAGGCAAATGGGTATGGGGAAGGCAAAACAGAACTAGCCAAGAGAAGACCATGCTCTGGTTTCAGCGGAAGCATCAGAGAATCATCCTTTCCAGTAAACAACTTCCCATTATTAGCAAAAACCAACACAAGTTTTCATTTACATATGTACATTTAAAAAAGAGCCTCAGGATTCCCTTGCACTCTGCTTTTGGAAGAGATGATAACACTGGCCAAAAAGGAGAGAGAAGCAATAACTATAGGAGCAGGGATGCACTTCTTGCTGGAATCTGTAAAAAAAAAAAAAAACAAACAAAATGGAAATTAGAGATGGGTTAGGTAGCAGGAATTTTTTTTTTCTAAAATCAACAGCAACAAACTAGTTCATATTTCCTTTGATTCATTATTTTTTGAATCATTAACATAAAAATTTCTAATAAAAATGTTTGAAGTTAGCTAATTTTTCAAAAAGTATTCTCTCAGATTTTTCTAACTCAGAGAATTCAACCTATTTATTTTGCAGATGATAAAACAGGTGTTAAGAGGTAAAGAGGTTGACTTCAGGTTACCCAGCCAGTTGGGGATAGAAAGTCTGATTTAAGAGATCATCCATTGACTTTCCGGGAGCTTAGATTCTCAGTCCTCATTGTATCTGACTGTAAGCCACACTGATCATAGTTAACCACTCCCTCCTCCTCAATTCTTACTCTTCACTTTGTTCCTGAGACAATAATTCTATTGATTTTCTCCTTTCTCACTGGCTGCTATTCCTCGTAGGTTTCTTTGCTTATTTCTTCTCATTTTGAACTTTTAATTTGTAGTGTGCTGAGGTTCAGTCCTTGGACATCTTCTCTCCTTTATTTGTACACATCCATGGAGAGAGCTTATCCAGTCTATTGGCTTTAAATTGTGATTTAAATTTGTGTTAAGTCTTTTTTTTTTGGGGGGGGGGTTGGTATCGCAGATTGAACTCAGGGGCACTTGACCACTGAGCCATATCCCCAGCCCTGTCTTGTATTTTATTTAGAGACAGGGTCTCACTGAGTCGCTTAGCACGTCACTTTTGCTGAGGCTGGCTTTGAACTCAAGAGCCAACTGGGATTATAGACATGAGCCACCATGCCGGGCTTGTGTGAGGTTTTAACAGCTGCTGTCAAGGCCCCAGGTTATCCCTCTGTCTTTACTCTCGGTTATTTGCTCTGCTCTCGTTCACTTCCATATAATGGCTTTCTTGTCATTGCTCCTGACTTAGGGCCTGTTTTAATCAACTTTTTTGCTGCTGTGACCAAAGGACCTGGCAAGAACAAGTAGTGGAGAAAAAGTTTATTTGGGGGCTCATGGTTTCAGAAGTTTCAGTTTATAGAAGGCTCACTCCATTCCACAGGGATTGAGTGAGGCAGAACATCATGGCAGAAGACTGTGGTGGAGGAAAGCAGCTGGGAGCATGGCATTCAGGAAGTAGAGAGAGAGCCTAAGCTCAGCTCACCAAATATATATCCCAAAGGTATGCTCCCAGTGCCCACCTTCCAGCCGCATCATAATAGCCTCAGTTACCACTCAGTTGATCCCTGTCAGCGGATTACTTCCTTGACTGGGTTAAGGCTCTCACAACCTAATCATTTCTCTTATAAAGTTTCTTACATTGTCTCACACATGAGCTTTTGGGGGGCACCTAATATCTAAGCTATAACAGGACCTTTGCACCTCCTGTTTCCTCTCCTGAAATGTTGCTTTCCTGAGATATTCATATGACTAGGTCTCTCATTTCAATCTTTGGGTGTCACCTTCTCTGTGAAGCTTTTGCAAATGACTCAGTTGAATATTGTGACTCTCTCCCACAGCAAGGGAATTGCCTGTTCCCTTGCTGTGCTTTGTTTCTCTCTGTACCACAGACCACTTACTAATATAATACATATTTACTTATTTTGTTTATTGTCTGGATAATCACACTAGAATGTAAATTCCCTAAGGGCAGGAATTTTTGCCTATTTTGTTCCCTAGACCTAGAATAGTGCCTAGCGCATAGTAAGTGCTTAATAAATACTGATTGAATGAATGAATTATAACTGCTCTTATGATGATGTTCAAATAAGACACAAACATACAGATATTACTCTTTAATTATATTCATCCTTCAAAAACCAACTTTCTGTTTTTGTTTTTGTGGTGCTAGGGATTAAACACAGGGCCTTGTGCATGTCTCACATGAGACTGAGCTATATTTTCAGCCCCCCAAAAACAACTTTTAATCCTGCTGGATAAGTGTTCCCCAAAGGCTCACATGTTAAAGGCCTGGTCACCATCCTGTGGAGTACTGGGAGGTGGTGGGACCTTTAGTAAGTGGGGCCTAGTGAGGAAATTAGGTCATGGGTGGTGTGATTTTGAAGGGGATTTTGGGACTCCAGCACCTTCCTTCTTCTTTCTTTTACTTCTTGAGGACCATGAGGTGAATGGTTTTACTCTACCACATCCCACCTACCACATCATGCTGACTTGTCACAGGTTCAAAACCACTAACCATAGATTGAAACCTCTGAAACTGTCAGCCAGAATAAACCTCTCTTCCTTACACATTGTTTTTCACTGACATTTTGTTACAATAATGGAAAACCGACTATTATAACCGACTATTATAATTATATATTATAATAATTAGGATATTAAATTATCTTTTTAAAAATATTTCTCTCAGGTTAAAGTTAAGTTTTCCTTCCTAACTCTCTTGATACTTTTCTCTACCTCTCTTATGGCTATTTTGTCTCACATTATTTTTACATGAATACTATATTTGAAAGAATACATGTAAAATATCTGATTAAATAAATTACAATCTAAAAATTTTTTGAGGATAGTGCACATTATTTTTACTTTTGTATTTATCTTTCATTTTTTACTAGACTACTAGTCAAAGCTTTTTTGCCCTCATTACCCTGTTACGATATTTTTTCAAATTGGCAGTTGTGATCCATGAATAAATTATGATATCATTTTAGGAGGTCACAATGATTAATGTTAATAGTGTAATAAAATAGGTTAGAATAGAAAGCACTAGCATTACACTGCATACAAAAAGGATAACTGTTGTCATATAAAAATGTATATTTTTACATTTATGTGTGTGTGTGAACTGAGTTATCACGTAAACAGTCAAAGTCCATAGACTTGATACTAACAGTTTCTCAATAAAATTTAAGAAAGATTTTAGAAGGACAAATGAATCTCTTGAAACAAATTTATAGAGAAAATTGTCTTGGAATTATTGTGAGAAAACATGGAAAAGGGTCTTACATTTGCCATTTGTAAATTACATGGATAATTTTACACAAGCCACTTGAACCTTTCTGAACCTCAGTATTCACATCTGGAGAGTGGGGTTAATAGCTCAACTTACAGGTGGTTGTGAGAATTAAACAGATATTATGTGTGAAAGTGTTTTGTAAGCTAAATTGCTGTGAAAGTATCATTTTATTGGTGTATGATAATCTAATTTCGGTCACTTCTACCTTGGGGTATAGAATCTGAGGAAAATGCATGGTAATCATAACTTTGATTTTATGAACTCTGAATCTGAATTATGTCAGATGCTTCAGAAGTAAATATTTGAACTCTAAAAGTGTAAAAAGGTAGAATCGACATGTAGTGTATCGAATTAATCTGGTGTTTGAGGTACATGTTATCCATTGCCTTTCTATGTCAAAATGCAAAGTAATGAGTGCAAATCTTTCAGAATACCATCTAGCAAAAAGTGGATGCTCAAAAAGTAGTAAACTTTATTCCTTCTGTCTCTTTTATTTCTATTCTCAACTGCCAATCTCCCTGAAGCAGACATTGGTGCTTTGAGCCATTATCCCACTTCTATATGCAAAATACTTTCTGCAGTTTCTCAGTTGTGTTTGAGAGGATGGGCGGGCACCAAGTGCAGTCACAATGTTCCCACAAAGCAAGCACAGCTTCTAGTTTATAAATGAAGAAACCAGCTCAGGGGTCAAGTCATTTACATAATACCACAAAGCTACTAACATATACCCAGATCTTTCTGGCTCCTATCTATCTACTTTTTATAATGCCATGTGGTCTCCAGATTCATTCACTGCTTGTTTTTGCATCCATTCATCTGAGACAGTCTACTTCAAGGTCAGTGTGATGTCACAAACAGGGAAAGAAAGATAACTGAAGCCCAGAGTAGAAGAAGACACGAAAACAATAGTACGTTAACCAAATAAATAATAAAAAAAACTAACAGTAGCTAAAATGTTGACCATCAGATGCTATTCTTAGAACTTTTACATATATTAATGCGTTTTCTCCTCATTTTATAGGTCGATTTCAAAAATTCTTATTTTACATGTAAAAAACCAGAGGCATAGAGAGATGAAGCCACTTGCCCATGTTATCACTGCTAGTAACTGGCAACATTTACATGTAAAACTAGGCTACTACAAACAATTGGCTATATTTGTTTCAAAACATGTTAAGAATTTTGATTATGTGAACCATTTTAACAAATAAATCCCTCCTTTGTGAATCCAATGATACAGAACAGAGCATGTATTTATATGTCTACGGATTTTTGGCACAGATTATGTTGCTGAAAGAAGCAGTATGTAAGGGCAAATAACTAATTAACATTCTGTTAACATATTTTGAGTCTCCCCATAAGCACTAAACCATGTTTCTATGGTTACTGGTATAGGTCCTTTGAAGGGTGATGAAAGAATTACAGGGTAAAGCTGTTAGTTTAGAATGACTAAAACAATTTTTCTTTGGCACATTTGCTCCCTTGAATGTATTATGCCATCAATTTGACCTCATGACTCTCTGAAGATAGCAGATTCCTGGGAACTCTTCGAACTCGAATTGCAAGTGCACAAGACCAAGTCTGACATAAACTCAAGGACAGGGAAGCTATGCTCTTTAGCATACTTCTCTATCCATTGGGGGAGTTGCATACAGTATCCTGGCTGGTTAATTTTGAACATCTTCATGCTGGCTTTCAAGTATTGGGTCTTTCTAATTAAGGGGAACAAGAGAGGAAACATAATTCACTGGCTTATTAGGGCTTTGGGGGACGTGTTTTAGTCAGCCTTCTATCACTGTGACCAAAATACCTGACAAGAACAACATAGAGAAGGAGAAGTTTATTTTGACTCATGGTTTCAGAGGTTCAGTTCATGGTTGGCTGACTCCACAGCTCTAGGCCCAAGATGCAACAGAACATCGTGGTGGAAGGGTGTGGTAGAGGAAAGTAGCTCAGAACAGTAGCAACAAGGAAGCAGAGAGAGAGAGAGAGAGAGAGTTAAACTCCAAACTCGCACTGTCTTATCTCCTTCAGCCATGTCTTACAGGTTTATGTTACCACCCAGTTAATCCATATCATTGGATTAATCCACAGATTAGGTTAAGGCTCTCATAACCCAATCATTTCACTTCAACATTCTTACATTGTCTCACATTTGAGCTTGGGCGGGGGGGACACCTCATATCTAAACCAAAACAGAACATACAATAGTTTATGGATTTTGCTGGTGAAAACAAAACAGAATGACCAAAACATAAACCTGAAAGAATGAGAAACAGCCTCCTGAGAGAATTCTTCTGAGGAATTAGATTCCAGTGCTTCAGAACAGCACCTGTGAATTCTGAAGGCTGGAGTTAGTGGGAGAAGTGAAGGGGTCAGTAGCAGCAATCTAGACCATCAGGTCCAGGTGGAGTCCACTGACTTTACTCTCTCCCAGAGAAGGACCCTCAGATAAGGAAGAAACATCACCTCCCTCCTGCTGGGTTCATATATGGATCAATCAATACTGCTCCAGGAAGGTGGGGTAAGTAGAATATTATCAAATAACAGAAATGACTTAAGGACCATTTCAGATGGTCCTGAGATTACTGATTGAGAAAAAACACAGCAGGGACAACTGAAAATCTTTTTTTTTAATCCATACAGATAAGTGGATATTATTGTGATTAATTAAAAACTATGCAGTCTTTTTGTCCTCAAGTAAAGTGATTATGCTAAAAACCAGCCAATGGCAAATGAGGCTTGGGTAGGTAAGATGGAAAAAGTGGATGGGCCAGATTTTTCTACAACCTTCTGTCCGAGTCAAGGTTCAAAGAAGTCAAGTCCTTACTGTCATGGGGGCTTTTTCCTCTCCCTCTTTCATTCTATCCTAGAGCATTACAGCTGTGGTGGCTGGGAAGACATGGCAGTCTCAGCTCTTTACTGATTATGTGATGCCTCTGTTCTGTCTTTTCCCTCCTCAGTTTATATGCTTGTAGTAATTTTTTTCTTTTTCTTGGTACAGGGATTGAAGCCAGAGCCATTCTACCACTGAGCTACACCCCAAGCCCTTCCTCCCTCCCTCCCTCCCTCCCTCCCTCCCTCCCTCCCTCCCTCCCTCCCTTCCTTCCTTCCTTCCTTCCTTCCTTCCTTCCTTCCTTCCTCAAGGTCTTGCTAAATTGTCCAGGCTGGCCTTGAACTTAAGCTCCTACTGTCTCAATCTCCTGAGTAACTGGGATTCTAGCCATGAGCCACATGCCCTGGTGCCAGGGATACTTTTATTCTGCCATTTACAAGTTCTCTTCCCAAGATTGTACAAGTTTCTAACTAATGAATTTCTAGGAAAATTTATTTAAGGTTGCTTACTTTCTAAATGATCACATTACAGATCATTCACACTGACTAAAGTTCCCCACTCTCTGGTATTTTTCTTCTTTATGTCTTCAAATATTGGAATTGTTTTTAATCAATTGAGTTATATGGCCATTTCACACAAGACCCAGTTTGCTCAGAGACATGAAAGAGAATGCTTCATTCATTCATCATTACTCATTCATTTATTCAATAAAAATAGGTTGATAACCTCTCTGTGCTGGAGGACTAAAGTTAATAGCTAACACTAATTTACTATTCATTATGTACTAGGAAATGCATTTTAAATAGTTTAGCATTTTATTTTATTTTGTTTTCACAAAAGTTCTGTGATAATGCTCATTATGTAGATGAAAATAACTTAAAGTTTAAGCACCTTGAAAAAAATACAGAGTTAATAAGTGGTATAGGTGAGTATGCATTCAGACATGGTGGATTTGGGGTCAAACTGCCTGGATTCCATGCCTAGCTCTTAAATATCTATGTAGTTAACATCCTGCCCACACAGAGTTTGTGGAATAATATAAGATTTCTGATTCCCTAAGTGTGAGTTTTTTGATTTCAAGTATCTACTCAAGAAATAATCTAGTAATATATATGGCTATCCCAGCTAAGCCTGGGTAGTTTCACCACAGAAAAACAAAGACCATTATTTTTGGGGTGGGTGTTGAGGTAGTGGTTCTGAAATATTTTTCTTTGAGATGTATACAATGGTAGTACATGAGTTATAATTTCTGTTATATACCCCTCTCCCTCAGTTTCGCACTTCTCACATCAATATTCTATGATTTTTTTTTCAAATGAATATATTGCTGTGCTCATTATCCTAGTAGAAAAATTATATGTACCAAATTCACAATAAGAAAAAATGTAGTGGTTTTCTACATGGGTACAGTTCCAAAGAATCATCAAAACTGACTATGAATGTTCTCATTTATTATCAAGGTCTCACTGTTTTCTTCACATTCTCCTGTAGGTTTTCATCCTCTGCAAGCACTAGTCTCTTGGGTTTGTGGGGTAGATACTTATTTCATTGGTGTTGCTGATGCTGCCAAGGAGAGAAGAGAGGAGATAAAAGTATTGGCAGTTTGCCTCTCCCTGGTCTGTGTTTATAGATAGAGATAAGCCAGAGTGAGCAGGCTCTAGACCTTGGTGTGGATGCCTTTCTAAAGACTTTGCAACACTATGGCCTTAAGTTGTTGAGAAATTCTGAGCTGAAATTATAAACAGTAACAATAATGATGGAGTTGAGAGAGATTTGAGAGAATATTTCAAAGGCAGATTCTGCAGTTGGGTTGCCATTAATTATGAGTGTGAATGAATTCAGCCACGTTTTTCTACAAGAGCTTAACTATTTTTTTTTTTTTTTTGTATTGTAATAGCTCTAATTTCTCTTGCTTTGGGTCATGTTTTATAACCTCATCACAGATCTTCCTGAAATATTGATCTATTGATGTTCCACTTCTTTAAGGCTTCTAGTGACTTCTTATTACCTAAAGCATGATGTTTTAAGAGTCTGTGGCATTGATTACAAGGCCCTGTACAATCAGGCCCAGTCAGAACTCTCCTGTCTAGTAAACTTCCTTTCCCTTTTTCCTGCCTGCCTCCTCTATCCTACACATCCTACACCCTAGCCACCCGGAATTTCAGAGATTCCCTAAAGACACTGGGCTGTCTGAAATCCCTGGGATTTGGCATATGCTGTTCTCTACTTGAAATGATATTTCTTTTCTTTCATTGAAAACCACCATTTCCACTGTGAGTCCCATGTGGTCCTCTGTTGGGAAACCTTCCTCAGTTTTCCCAGAGACCTCCTGGTATGGAGCAGCCACAATCCTTTGCTCAACATCTTGTGTATCACGTAGTATTTCCAAGTGTATAATTTTGTTCATGTTTCATTTTCTCAAACTAAAAATCCTCTCAGGCTAATTATGTTGCTTTATCCATTGTCAGGGTCTCCACTCACAATAGGGAATGTCATATAGGGAGTATCAGTGAGTAAATTTTACTTCCTGCCCTAGCTTTAGAATGTCTTATCCTTATAATGACCATGACAAAACCAAAACAAACAAACACAAAAACTTGAGAAGATAAAAATGCTATAATTTATATGCTAACTTTCCCAGTCAAGTTTTACTCTGTCTAGAATTTTCCACATATTTAAGTAATTTCCCCTTATGTGTGTGTGTGTGTGTTTTGCTTTGTGTGATTTTTTTCTCAGTCAACCATGGTCAGAAAATCTTATGTGGAAAATTCCAGAGATAAAAATTTTTAAGTTTTGAATTGTGTTCCCTTCTGAAGAGTGTGGTGAAATCTTGTACTATCTTACTCTAACCCTGATAGGATGTGAATCATCCCTCTGTCCAGCATTTCCACAGTAATTAGTGATTAATGGGTGACCACATCATTTACTTCACTTCATCTTATCACATAGGCACTGTATCATCTAGCATCATCACAAGAAGGGTGAGTACAGTTCAATAAGATATTTTGAAATATTTCTCTCAGAGAGAGAGAACAAGCATATGTGCACAAACTTTTATTATATATTATTATAATCTTCCTATTCTCTTATTAGTTATTGTTGTTAATCTCTTACTGTGCCTAATTTATAAGTTGAATTTTATCATAAGTATGTTGTATAGAGAAGAGCATAATAGAGAGGGTTTGGTACTATCTTTGGTTTTTAGGCATCCACTGGGGCTCTTGGAATATGTCCCTCATGGGATGAGGTACCTAATGTAGTGCTATTGCATCAATTCTCTTTTTTTTTTTTTAGAGGTAGTTGAAGAGAAAAGAGGCGGGGGGTCAGGGTTGGAGGTACCAGCTACAAAGCAGCCTTTCTCTAATCAGTCAGTTCCACCATTACTGAAGACCAATTTCCATGTTTTGAGCTCCCCATCAAGCTTACTCAGAATAAAAAATAACTTTTATCTTAAAAAAGTGTTCTAGGATTCTAACAAGAGTGGGTTCAATTTCAATCAAGATTACCTTTAAGCAGCTGGCAGTTATATGTGCTTAGGTTTCCAGCAGACTGCAATTGCAACCAATTTCCTTTTGGATGGTAGCTGGTATTTACCACTTCAAAAAATTCATATGGAGGGATTAGGACTTCCTTCTTGAGGGAGAAGTCTTGTACAGGTACACCCATGCAGGTAAATATGGTAAACAGCGTTTGACTCCCAAACTTCTGTGTCTCTTCTTTCGGGAAGGGGATGGAAATGAATTGGCCAAATCGAATGGTGGCACCTATGTGGGCTTTGAAGTTGACCTCCTTCATGCTATGATGCACCTCATAACACAAGGTACCATTCTTCACAAGGATCTCTTTCCTCAGCAGCTGGATTGCTGAGGTCAGGTAGTAGTGTAGGTATTTGAAATGGAATGAATGTCTATACTGCTGAGGAGACCTGGCAGCAGTGGCCATGGCATTAGAAAAGTCAGAGCGCATATTGTTATTCAATGTGTAAACCAGGAGAGCCACAGCATGTGTTGTTGTCATGTCCTTGGGGAGATCTTTTGCTTGGTTCAGCCAGGTTAAGTGGGCTTTGTGCCACACCTTGGAGTAATTCTTATGGGTATCTAGTTCCTTTCTGAAATAATCTCCTTGATTTAGCTCCTTCATGACCTGTTCGCTACAGCCTTGGTACTGATCATCAAAGGAATCTGGCGCCAAATCAAAGGCAATTTCAGCTGCAACCTATAAATGTAAAAAAACACCTTGATTTTGATTATTCAAATCAGATTTACTATACTTTGTAAAGCCAAATCTTCTCAAAACCAATATTTGCTGAAATAAATTTTATTCAATATCATTATAATGCATCCAGTGTAATGATCCCTACATCATTTCTATGCCAGTGACCTGTGTCAACAATTGAATTTGGTTTCATAAATATTATTGAAAGGTGAAAAAATTCACTGGGAGGAAATAACCATTTTTGTAGAACTGAAACCATAGTGTTTTTGCATGCTGAATACTTGGAAGAAAAATTATTCAACCTTATCGTTTCATTATACTTTCTGTTTCCTCTCCTCTCCTCACCCCTTTGTATTCTTTAATGCATGTTATAAGGAACATCTCTTTTATGAATGCCTAAACCTATATTAAATCTTTGAATTTTATTGAATAAAAGTCTTAAGTGATGAGTGATGTTGATTTCTCTATGGGACAGTCCAGTAATAACAACCCTGTTATTACCCGGATTCTGAAAAAAAAAATGAGGTAAAAATAATCAAGGCCAAATTATCTTTCTTCTTACTGAATAAGTCCATGTGGAAGCACACATCTGTAGGTATGATGGCAAGTGGGCTTCTTCTGAAGAATAAATTCAAAAAGGATTCAGGCTTGTCCTCTCAGTTACAGGCAGTAGTGGACCGAGGCCTCCCAGGTAAGATTCTTGTCATGGAGGAGGACAGAACTCATGCCCTTTGCTATCAGACTAACTCATTCTCAATAGGAGGAAGGGGAGCAGAGCCCAACTGTGTGTTCCCAGTTATTCTTCCTAATGTTGACAGTGAAGTAGTTTGTCTCTCCTATTTCCCACTCCAGGAGTGGGAAAGGCTTTCTTTTTTAATGGGTAGCCAATTGAACATTAAGCTTATTGACATCTAGTGTATGCGAACTGAAGTTAGAGATTTGAATGGAGGTTCATTAAACATCATTAGTTTATAATTTAGGGTCCTGTATGAATTATCAAAATTTAAATAGATGCTTTTTTCTTTGCAAAGCCATGATGCTTTTCTAATAAATACTACTTATTGGAAGACTCTACCTGATGTCAAGGCTGTTGGGACTGGAACTCAAAAACATATCATTTGGTACCTATACTATGTGATTTATGTTCTAGTTGTATAAACTAGAACACAATTTTCAGACTGGTTAAATGATTTTAACCGATAACTCTTTAGAGCAGATTTCCAAATAAATTTACAGAATCTATTTAAGCCAAGCCAAGCCAAGCCAAACCAATAGTATCATGTTCTGTCAGATCTGATAAATTTCAAAAGTAGATTTCAAATATATACTCTGTCATCTTTTAACATGAGGTTATTTTCAACATATAGATCTTCAAGTTAGAACACTTATAAATAAGTTGGTCTATAGGATACAGTTTAAACCCATAAAGATTTGGTTGGTTTTGTATTATTTGTCCTATGGAAGCAGTATTTTAATTACGGTGGAGAATTAAGAAGTAACTCCATGATAGTAGCTTCCATAATGCCCAACTTATCAACAATAAGGAATTTTTAATTTTTAATAATTATTTTCAATAGTCTTCACTATCATCATTTGCTAAAATGTCTGTATGAAATTAGATCTCAAGTGCCCAAGGTTTGGGTCATTTAGAGTTTGCCTCTAGGTGAATATCCTATTGGAACACTGACCTTAGAAAGGTCACCTCCTCAATTGCTCCATACCTCAGCACTCCCGGTGTGTGTCTGCAGACCACAGAGCAGCAGCAGGAGTGGCAGCTGCACTCCTTGGAGCCAGATCCCCATCCCACGAGCCACAGGAGTCCGGAGAAAAATCCTCTTGCATCTGTTGATCAGTAGATGTATGTAAATAGTACCCTTTTGCACTGGCAGCTTCATCCCCAAATGAGTTCTCAGAGTTCTCCTTTGGGGTTTTCTTTGAATAAGTCTCAACAGGAAACTTCTCTGCTCCTGTCTGTGTTAAGACTTCTGTTGATCGACAACAACTAACAGCTTTCCTGTGACGAGAAATCAATTCCAGCGTTTTTTGCAAAGTTGAAATTTCTGTGAAACAGCCAGATGTGTGTGCCAAATAAGGGTTTCCAGTGAACTCAAGTTAGTTTCATTAAAAAAAAAAATCCCTAATTTACTCTGTATTCAGGGGAATGCCAAAGACATGTTAAGGGTCAGGTTCTGCAGTTCTGCCTCAAATTTCCCAGAAGAGCAGGAAAAGGCATTCTTTGTACTGAGTGTGGGGCCAAATAGCATTATCTTGAGTCCCAGGCTCCCATTGTGAATAACAAGATAGGCATGTGCAGGGTGGCTGGGCCCAGCCATACAAGGTGGGCCTCTGTCAGGCTCATCTGCTGCTGCTGATAGACCCTGCCTGGGATGCCTTTTGGATTATTGTCACAAAGAAGGCTCTTTTCACAGCTTTTCTTCGGTACACTGAAACACCCCAATCCAGAGATTGTAGATTTTTGGGTCCATAGCTTTTCCTGTTTTTTCTTCTAAAAATATCAAGTCTTCAATTAACTCTATTTCAATCTACAGTGAATCCTAATGATAGTCAGAAAACTGCCTGTGTCTAGCTGGCAAAAATCAAAGGTAGAATTCAGCATGTAAAGCTAATCTAGCTCAGACGTGCGGTCAACGCTTTCAGGCGTTGAATATCCTTCCTTCGTCTATTTCTAACTCCTCCAGACAGTGGTTTTTCTTGTGGATATTTGCCACTTATACTTCCCAATTCACTATCTGTTGAGAGGGCTAAATCCTGTTCTTGGAAATTCTGGTATTGATTTTTTTTTCCCAGAAACCTAAGTAATTTTTAGTATATTTTCTTATAATCATAGCAGTTCTGTCTCATTAACAAAAGTTCAGAATGTTTAAAAAAGCATAAAAGAAAAAACAAAAATCATCTATAACCCCTCACATGGAGAAATTTAAATTTTGATTTTATACACACACACACACACACACACACACACACACACGCACGCACTCCTGAACTGAAATGGTACAGTATATAGTTTGGCCTACTGTTTTCTCTCTTACTATTTCAATGTAAACATGTTCCCACATAATTTCACACTTATTTATGATTGAACTACAGCATTCCAAAAGTGCTACCGTGCAATGTAACAGCACAGTGGACCTATGGACTGTAGTGTCTCTAAGCAAATCAGTTAGTGAGGACAACATGGACTCCTGAGAAAGATACCTCTGTTCAACTCCTGACTCACCTGCTTCCTTAATATTCAACCTTGGACAAGCTACTTAATCTTTCAGTTCCTCAATTGCTTTTTGTGTTAGATGGTGACGATGATAGCATCTCCCTCACTGAAATGACATGTTTATAACTTTCCAGTCAGTATCTGGCATCTATAGATTTCTCAATAAATGAAATCAATTATCATTACTTCTTCCAGTTTATTTGATAAACGTATCTGGCTAGTTTTCAACTTTGTGCTATTATAATCAACAACTTGTGAATATATTTTGAACAAAATCTTTGTGCGTTTTCTCACAATTTTTAAGACCCCGTTCTAGAGATGATGTTAGGGGGCAGACAGATGTGAATGGTGGGAACCTGAGGATAAAGGAATAACTCTATAAAATGGGCCCACAGTGCAGATCCCCTACATGCTTTCTTTTCCAGGAAGAAATTTACCTGCAGCCCTGCCTGGCCTTAGTGGACAGGGTCACATTTCTCAGGAAACTACCTGTTAACTGCAGGAGAAATGCAGACGCAAGATAATGTCAGTGGGAGCAATCCAGGAGAGTTTTGTGACCAGATCCTGAAACTCTGGGCAATGAGGATAGTTCCTCCTAACCACAAAAACTGTAAAAAATAGTATTGTTAAGAATCCAATTGGAACTGGTCAGCATGAGCCAAGATGACTTAGAGTTGCCATGACAGTGGGGACTTGAAAGTCTGATATCACCCTGCTGAGAGCCAAAACTCAAGAGGTGGATCTGGGTGGGACTCTCTGGAAATTCTCTGGGATCTCCAATAAAACTGGAGAGCAGGAGAGGCATGTTGTGTCTCTCTTCTCTGAGAGGACCCACTTTCTCCCTTGAGAATGTTCTCTTTCCCTTCCCCCATCCCTTTAGTAAACTCATTCCTGTTATTCTGGGCAACATGTTGGAAATCTTTCTGACTTGATCACAAGAATCGGGGTTTGAAAAGGAGGTCTTCATGCTGCCTCAGTTTCTTGGAAGGCCCCAGCTCCGCAACAATGGCCATTAATCAAAGGAATACATATTGTTTGGATTTGATGGTTCCCACTAGCAATGTATGAAAATCTCCTGTTTTAGTCAGTTTTCTCTAGAGGAACAGAACTAACAGGAGGTATGATTATAAAAAAGGGATTTATTAGATTGGCTTACACAACCAGAAGCTGGGTAGTCCACAATGGCTGTCTGCAGGCTGGAGAGCTGGAAGAACCAGTAGCTGCACAGTCCATGATGCTGAAGCCTCAGAATAACAGTCCAGGACCGAAGGCTTCTGGAAACTCCCTGGAGAATCACTAGCAGAGTCCGCTTGGAAAGAATGAAGGAGAGTCTGATGACCTCAGGAGATCCCAGCAGCAATCAAGAACCCATTCAAGAAGAATGAGTTTGCATCTGCTGCTGCTTCCTTGTTCTTCCAAATTTTATTCCACCCAAGCCGCCAACTTCCAACCTCCAACAAGCTGCCCATGCTTAAGGAGGGCCTCCACTTCAGTTGGCTATCTCAGACGCCAATCATTCCTTGACACGCCCTCATTGACACACCCAGAAGCCTTTTAATCTTTGGCATCTCTCTCTCTTTTTTTTAAATATATTTTTTTTAGTTGTCAGTGGACCTTTATTTTATTTATTTATATGTGCCATGCTGAGAATCAAATCCAGTGCCTCACACATGCTAGGCAAACACTCTACCACTGGGCTACAACCCCAGCCCTTTAGCATCTCTTAATTCAATCAAGTTGACAATTCAAATTAACCATTACACTTCTATTCGGGCTTTCAAAATTCTTCGTTATTAAATGTTACTTCAGGATATTGAGGAGTTATGGAGAGAACTTGAGTTATAGATTGAAAATTTGTATTATGAGTCTAGTTCTCCAAATGCTGGCTGAACTAATTTAAAATGAGTGATCTGTGCTGATCCTCGGTTTCCTTAACTTTATAGAGTTGAAAATATTATATAAAGCAATAATAGTTTTATTTCACTGAGAGTGTATGGTGCTTTACTATCTGTTGAGAGAGCTAAATCCTGTTTTTGAAAATTCTGGTATTGATTTTTTTTTCAGCAACCTAAGTATTTTTTAGTATATTTTCTGATAATCATAGCAGTTCTGTCTCATTAACAAAAGTTCAGAATATTTTAAAAAAGCATAAAAGAAAAAACAAAAATCATCTATAAACCCTTACATGGAGAAATTTAAATTTTGATCTTATACACACACACATTCACACACACTCACACTCCTGAACTGAAATGGTACAGTATATAGTTTGGCCTACTGTTTTCTCTCTTACTACTTCAATGTAAACATGTTCCCACATAATTTCATACTTATTTATGTTTGAACTACAACATTCCATCATGTAAGTGTTATCAGGCAATGTAATAGCACAGTGGACCTATGGACTGTAGTGTCTCTAAGCAAATCAGTTAGTGAGGACAACATGGACTCCTGAGAAAGATACTTCTGTTCAATTCCTGACTCGCCTGCTTTCTTAATATTCAACCTTGGACAAGCTACTTAATCTCTCAGGTCTTGCTAAGTTGCTTAGGGCTTTGCTAAATTGCTGAGGCTGTTTTTTTTTTAAAATATTTTTAGTTGTAGATGGACACAATAATTTTATTTTATTTTTATGTGGTGCTGAGACTCACATATGCTAGGTGAGGGCTCTACCACTGAGCCACAATGCAGCCTCCTCGGTTTGGCTTTGAACTCTCAATTCTCCTGCCACAGCCTCCTGAGGTTTGGGATTACAAGCTGCTCCACCACCTCCTTTTTATTATTGTCTTAAAGATTTTAATTTCCCTAGTGTGACCATCACTTCCAGAATAAGACCACTAGAGGGCAGCAGAAACTTTTGTAACCTTTTCATAACACTCCTTTGTCCAAAGGTTTTTTTTTTTTTTTTAAATTGGTTGTTCAAAACATTACATAGCTCTTGACATATCATATTTCATACATTAGATTCAAGTGGGTTATGAACTCCCATTTTTACCCCAAATACAGATTGCAGAATCACATCAGTTACACATAAAGGGAAAAAGAACTGGAGGAAGGCAGAGAGGAAGAGCCAACTGGGGTGGGAAAAGGTCCAATGTATGTTGTGTATGTATACATTTTTTGAATTAAAATAAAAGCAAATGTTTTCTGACAATATTTAGCATCATTAAAACCCATCTTTTGCCTTCAAGCCTCTCATTAAGGTTCCTATGTGATGGTTTGGTATTAGTTAATTTACAGTTGAGGTACACTCACTTGTCATTTGCTTGACGATACTGAATTCTTCAAAATGCAATCTGTGCTATCTTGGTGGGTAAAAGGATATAGACTTTTAATCTGTACAGACCTGTTAGAATTTTGCCTCTTTATTTTCTAGCTTTTGTGAATTTGAACAAGCCATATTAGTTTTCTTTCTCATTTTCTCCGTAAGCAAAAGTGGAAGATAGCAAACACCAATGTTTCAGGGTTGTGTTGCAATGAAATTGAAATAATCTACAAAACACCAGAGTGGCCCATGGACCAAACTGTTTCAGAAGCAGGTTGGGGAATCAAGCATGAACTCTTGAGAAAGAATTTGTGGTTCAATTTTCTGGCTTTCCCTTTTCCTTTATGTTTGACCTTGGGCAAGCTACTTAACCTACTCCTCAGTTTCCTGAGATTCTTAATGCCACTTGCACTATCAGTTGCTCAATGTGTGCTCTTTACGCTCTGCTAGGTACTCAAAGACCCACAACTCATGGGATAGCCAACAAAGTGAGAACATATTTTTATTTATTTTTTATAAATAGCTATTTAAGAATAAGTTTTCTAATTTTCTGGAAATGTTTTCTAGATTAAATTCTAGGCCAGGCGCGGTGGTGCATGCCTGTTATCCCAGGGGCTCGGGAGGAGGATCATGAGTTCAAAACCAGCCTCAGCTAAAGTGAGGCTC